GAGAGAGAGAGAGAGAGAGAGAGAGAGAGAGAGAGAGAGAGGTTCTTAGTGTTTAATAACTAGCAAGTATTATCCCTTTCTATTATTTCAAACGCGCCATTCTGTAAAAGCTACTGGTAGTGTTAAGAACTTTCTAAAGGTGCTGATATTGTGGTCTACTGTTCTTTACTTCCCAATTATATTGCTTTGTATTTACACTTCCCTATTATTTCATGCAGCTGGTTGAAAATGACAAACTCAGAAATGCAAATAGAGAAGCCTTAACGTCTCTTCGCAAGAAAGCCAAGACAACAAAGACCAGTGTCCCCTCCCCGTTCGAATCACTGATGAAAGAAATAGAAGTTCATGAATCAAGGCCCTTAGTAAAGGAGGTGTGCCAAACATGTGGCCACCATGATTCGAAGGAGCATACGTGGATGATGTTTCCTGGTTCAGATGTGTTTGCTCGCATTCCATTTCATGCAGCCCATACCATTGTGGAGAAAGGTACTCTGTCTGAGAGAGAGAGAGAGAGAGAGAGAGAGAGAGATGAGTATTCATGGACTCGCATGTACAGAACATCAGTGAATTCCAAATCCAAATTGAAATTGTGCGACTTGTCCTCTTTCTTTCTTTAATGAAAGATGATCATTGAATATAATGTTGTTCTTTTATTCATGCATATGCAGATCAAGAGCGGTTGGATTATGAAACAAAAAAGTTACAAAGCTATGTGAAGGAAAAGTCTCTTAACATTTCAGGGAAAGGGGTTCTTGCTGACAAGATTGGTCCGGGTGTGCTAAGATCTTTGGTAACCCTAACTGATGCACCCAAGTAAGACCCAGTTTGTTTCGAGTGCTCTCCCTTTTGCCTCAGATTTTAGCAACCATGATCACCTTTGAATTGAAAATCTGGGCTCCACTCATGACAGTTTATGTAATCGTATTTACATGGTCATCACATGTTTTATTTTTGCTCTCATTTCCAGTAGAGCAAGTTGTTTTGTCAAATTTTGTCCATAGGTGAAATACGACGCGGTTGGGGTGTACAATTAGTTTAGCGTGCATATACCATGCTCCTGCAGGAGCAATCTTTCCATTTGCTCCCTTGGGTAGAAAATGTACTGGAAAAGATTTTTTGGATCTGAAAATTTGGGATGCATATAAATATCATCAGATGGTTGTTTAAAAAAAAAAAAAAGGGATTCTTTAATATTAATATTTAGATCTTGCTGTCCCAAAATTGGACTACGTATGTTTTACTTTGGGACATTAATTTTTTCTTTAGGATCATTGTGTGCGTGTCTGAATTATTTTTTTCTTTGGAATTGGTCTCTAGGTTACAGACGATACATAACCAAAATTTTGGGTCTGAAAAAAATCCTAGCATGGCAGGAGCTTGAAATCATTTGGCTAATTAGTTTTTTCTTTTGGCAAAAGTTTATATAGAGCTGAGGCTCTAACCAATCAAATTAGAGCATAACAAATTTCATTAGAAGAGGTTATTTTGATGCCTTGGCTCTATACAAACTGCACCTTTTCTTTATATTGCATCGATAAATATCGAATGGTGGACCAACTTGTATTTCATTATATTGTTACTCGGGGAGTTTGTAATGTAAAAGAATGATCAATGACCTAGGCATACTTTACTCTTAACGGGTATCACTGCATAAATGCAGATTACAAGATGTTTGAAATTAAAAATGTGTATACTTGCTTTGTTTCTTGGTACTGCATCTCTCGCAGATTTAATCAAATTGATGTAGAAAAGGTAGACAAATATTTCATGGACAACGGTTCTGAAACACTAACATTTAAGACCCCTTTTGAGTTTATGAGATTCATTTCATAAGTGACATTCTTTCCGGTGAATATTGGGGCATTGCAATGGCTACTACCTAAACAACTTAATGACATAATTTGATATGGAATAGACTATCTTATATAAAATTAATATAGACAATAATTTTGCTGGCTGTTTGGTAGTTATGTATAATATTATTTAATTATTCAAATTTGCCTATGATATCTAGCTATTTTAGCTATTTTTAACAAAAAAAACATGTGATTTTAGTAAATTACTTTGAAAAAGTATGAGCAATTTTTCCAAAAGGTAAATTTATATGTAAAACTACCTATAAGTTTAAGTTATTTTATTGTGGACACTACTGAATAATAGATAATATATTATCGGGATTATTTTATTGAAAAAGTGAATTGTCATCGATAACGAGTACATCCAAATAGGCCCTAATTCTTTCGTTTATAATTTCTCTTATATCTTTTTGTAAATATTCATCTTTCTATTCACCCAAAAAAAATATCATCTTTCTTTAGAGCATGACACCAAAGGATCATTGAGCATTTGGGTCTTTCTTGTTGTATCCAAACGTCATTCCCTTAACAGACTATCCAAGAATCTCGCATAACTCGACTTTACTTTTTTTAAGTACAATCATTAGAACTCACTCATTTAAAAAAAAAAAAAAAAAAGAAGGGGAAAGAAAGAAGCAGAAAAAGAAAAAGAAAAAGAAAAAGAAAAGAAAACTATCCAACAACACAATGCACAAATTTTAAGTATTTTATAAACTGTTGTCATATCAGGGATGTCTTCACGGTAATGTTTTTAGTTCATTGATAACAACAGTTGTTCGTTCTAAGAATCAATTACACTTCTTGTACGAAAAAGAGATGTCCACATTTGGTTCTTTGTTTTTTTGTTTTATTATCGATGTTTCGACTTTGAAATGAATCTCTAATCAGCCTTTTGTGCCATTTATCCCATTCTTTCTTGGATATCAGTTTTTGCACTCTTGGCTAGGGTACTTTCGGTTTGTCTAGACCAGTGTTTAAAAAAACATATCAGTGACATGAATCGTCTTCACCCATACTCGTGTCCGATCGGTAGATCGGATCGGAAAATCGGCTGAATCGACAATTGTTGTTGTAAATGTTTTTTAAAAAATCACTATAAATCTCTAAAAATAGCGTTTTTTTAGTTTCTAAAATAAATTAGGAGTGATACATTATGTATTTTTATTACTTTATAAAAATAGGTAAATACTTAGACGTTTTTTTGTATGGAAGTCTGCATAATTATTCATAATAATGTAGTATTATAATATGAGTAATGATCCTATGAGACCCTCCCACACCTATATGTGTAGAATCCTAAAGGATCACCTTTAAATTAGGCACAGATCTCTAAAAAAGTTATTACAAGGGTATGGGACTTGAATTTTCCAGATATCTCTGCCAAATTTAGTTGTGATCCTTTGGGGTCCTACACACATGGGTGTGGGAGGGTCTCACAAGGTCATTTTCCTTATAATATTATGTCAAAATAATTTGAAAATATTAAAAACACTTCTATAATATAAGATTAAAAAAATAACCTCTCATATCAATTGAAATTAGTATCACACCAAAGTATCAAACATTTATTAATTTGCTCTACTCATCCAAAATTATCAAACCTAATTACCTATAATATTATGTACTGAAATTGAAATTGTTACTTTATAATTTATAATTATTTTACTATGCAAATAAGAACAAATCTAAAATGTCTTATAATATCATCTAATTTAATAAATCTTATTTACAACTATAAAAAAAATAATATATTACATAATTTATAATGAAAATAAATTAATAATGAAAATAAATTAATAAAGAAAATAAAGATATCAAAATTCCAAAAAAGAAAAAGCATGTCGGCAATATAATTGACGAATTTTCAAACCTTGCTTAAATATTCTAAAATTTTAAATTGAAAAGAAATGTCCTAATTAATAGTTTTACCTCAAAAAGTTACTATACAATATGATCCTACAAGAATATAATTGGCCGATTTTAAAACAAAATATTTATTAAAATAATTTTTTTCCTTATCTATTAAGTTGAACGTTGTTGTTGTTGTTGTTGTTGTTGTTATTATTATTATTATTATTATTATTATTATACCCTAAAAGATTTGAACATAATGATGAAGGTATTTCAAGAGTTGCAAAAGCATTTAACCAAAAAATAAATAAAAAGATGAAGGTATTGGGGCTCTTTATTGTTTTTTAGGTAAGTCAATAGAGTAGAAGGCCTCCTATTTAATTTTTATTAATATTTTAAAATAAAGAAGCTTATCACTCATTTCTTTACAACCCTGCAACATGGTACCTGTGACGTGAAGTAAAAAAAAAGAGATGAAGGTAAACATAGGTAGTGGGGCTTAGACAAACGGACGAAAATAAATCAAGAGAGAAAAGAAAACCGAAGAAGAGAGAAGAAAAGTAGAGAGACGGAGAAAAATATCCCACATCGAAAATTCTAAGGAAAAACCAACATTCTAAATGTTAGCCGTTGGATCGCCGCTTGCCCGTGTGTGTTTGCGTGTGCGCCAACGCGCGCAGGTGGGAACGCATGGAGGCTGACGTACTCGACGAGTGGGTGCAGCTTCGAGGCTTCTAATGAAACGGCTCTAGAAAGTTTAGTAAACGTTAACTCGTGCTTTCAGATCGAATCCGAATCCAATTTTTTTTGCTCGATCTGCGATCTCGATCGGGTATCAATATGTAGAATCCGAATCCAATTTTTTATGCTTGATGTGTGATATGTTACCGTGATTCAATAATGCATTAGTTTTCAATTTTTTGCAAAGGCAATTATGATATTTGTTTTCAATTTTTTACAAGAACAATTATGATATTTTTTTTGTAAAATAAAGGGACTTTGCCATGATGATATGATATCACCACATAAACAATCGCCACGTAAACAATCGCACGGTCCCCACGTGGACCTGACGTTTTTGATGCAGGACAATTGCAACTATAACGTGCAAACAACTTGTGAACAAACCTATTAGCGTGCAAACCTATTAAACTATGCAAACCCATTAAACTAGCGTGTGTCTTCCATGTGGAATCCAGTTTATTATAAAAATTATGTACTAAATTAATAAAACAAGTTTTTTAATAAATTATGTTTATTATAAACAATATTTATTTAATAAAATGAGCTTTTTATAATAAATTACGTTTATTATAAAAATATACTAGCAATTCAAAATATACATACAAGAGCCATCTTGTTTTTTGAATCACGTTTAATATAATATTATAATTAATAATTATATTAATTACATTGATAAAATCTTATATATTATTTATTATAAATTACATAATTTAGTATCTTTTGTTATAGTTGTGAAATTAGATTTTAAAGTTAGAGGATATTACAAGACAAATTTCAAATTTATTCTTATTTGAAAAGTAGAATTATTATAAAGTATAAACCAATAATTTCAATTTCAATGTATAATATTATTGTTAGTTAGGTTGTGATATTTGTGGACGAGTAAAGATAATTAATAAATGTTTGATTTGATACTAATTTCACTTTATATAGGATAATATTATTTTTAATCTTATAATATGAAAATATTTTCCAATATTTTTAAATTATTTTATTGTAATATTATAATACTATATTATAATTAATAATTATACAGACATCTATACAGGAAACAACAAAATGAAAGTACATAATGTACCACTCCTAATTTATGTTTAGGAACTAAAAGAACACTAATTTTAGAGATTTATAGTGATATTTTGAAAAACATTTGAGAAAATTTTTGCCGATTCTCCGATCCGACACTGGTGTGGCAACATTCGAGTCACCGATCCGTTTTTTAAATCCTTAGTCTAGACAATGGCCTAGACCTAGATAGGACTTGCGAGTCAGTGGCTTCTGGCTCTGCCAGACCTGGACCCAACCTACTGAGTCCAGAAATGATAGATATGGACCTAGGTCACGGTTGTTTTACAAACCGGGAAGGTCTTCACTATGGGTTCATGCAAGCCCAACCTGTTGAGTTGGAGTAGATCCAGACCCAGACCTGGTCAAATCTGCTGATCCCATAGGGTTTGGACCCTGTTGGACCAGAAATCTGACCCCCTGATCCAGTTTGTAGTCCCATACTATGAACCTATACCTACGTTGTTTGTTCGGTGATCAACCCTATTGAGATGTCTAACATTGGTGGACTGGTGATCAACCCTATTGTGATACTTGACATTGGTCGGATACCAAACGTATCAATCATTAATCTTTTTAAAAAATCACTAATTTGACAAATCACCCGAGCCGAGTCAGAATTGGTGGAGTACCAATCCAAAACAG